TGCCCGTCCACATGGCAAACTCAGAAAATGGCTAGGGAAGCCATTTTGATCAAGAAACATCAGCAAACGAGATGAATTGGTCCAGGGACTCCCCCAGTGTTTTTTGAGTGTGACATAAGATGCGGTTCAGTTTCACCTTCTTGTTCGTAGGATCACTATGAGTTGTCTACTTGAGGTCCCTTAGTAGCAATGCTGATACTTTTCATGAGGCTCAGGGCAATGGAATAACCTTAGCTCAGTTAAATACTATCAGCTTTTGGAAAGGGTGAAGCCAAAATGGTTTTCTGAAAACCTGACCAAGACACATGGATACTCGCAGCAAACCTGAATGGCTGGTACCTGAGTAACTGCCCCGTTGAGTTACCAGTCAGTTGTTCATGGCTGTTTTGGACTGGTACAATGATGGGGAAGCAGAAGTTATCCTCCAAAAAAGACAGGACCATAGTTGGAAAAGCCAGAGGGCAGCCTGCAGTGCAGTGGATGGTTGTTATATGGCTTTTCTAGCCACGATCTTGGGACTCCCACAAGATGATTGGGTGACGGTATGGATGCAAAGTACTTGTGACTCAGCAACAGGATTGAACCATTTGCTAATAATGCAAATAAGGGCTTTATCTCCCTTATGAGAGTTGTTGTTACATAACGTGGAGTATGAGCCATAGTGACTCTGTGAACAACAGATCTGAACCCTTTCCTATCCTGTGCCATCGTCACACTTCCTGACACACTAGAACCTATTGCAGCACTGTGTCAGTCCACTTGGTTGAAGATCTTCCTCTCTTTGGCCAGCCCTCTACCTTTTCAAACATGATGTCCCTCTCCAGGGAATAACCTCTCCATAGCAACATGCCCAAATCATGTGAGACTAAGTTTTATCATCTTTGCCTCCAAGGGGCACTCTGGACTCTGGCTGCACTTTCTCCAAGACATATTTGTGTTTTTTTGGCTGTCCATGGGATAGTCAGTACTCTTCTCCAACACCACAGTTCAAAGTCATTATTTCTTCTATCATCCTTGCTTTAAGATGCATAGCAAGTGATTGGAAAATGAGAGTGGGACTGTACAAATCAGGGATACAACTTACTTGAATTCTTACTAGAATTTTAATAAGAGAGTTGACCAGTTTTCCATCTTGTTGTTATGTGCCATCAAGTCACCTGCGACTCACAACAAACCTGTGTACAACAGTCTTAAACCCTGCTCTATCCTCTGCCAATCTTTTTGTCTCTGACACACCTACCCCCATTACCCCAGTCACTGAATCAATCCACTTCATTGAGGATCTTCCTCTCTTTTTTTTTTATTTTATTTTTTTTTTATTTTTGTGTGAGTGTACCGTCAAATCAGATCTAACTGGTACAGGAGATTGTCCCTCCTTTTTCTGGCAGAGCATCTGGTGGATTCAAACCGTATGCCTCTGGGATTGTAGTTGCAGCTCCTTGCCACTAGGCCACCAGAGCTCCCCCGAGGATCTTCCTCTCTTGCACTGGCCCTCCACCCTCCCAAGCATGACATCTCTCTCTGAACTGATCCCTCCTTGCAGCATGTCCAGAGTATGTCAGATGAAGCTTCAGAATCCTTGCCTCCAAGGAGCAGCTTGGCTTCACCCTCCAGGACAAACCTGTTTGTTCTCCTAGCAGTCCGTGGTATATTCAATACTTTTCTCCAACACCACAGCTCAAAGGCGTCAATTCTCCTATCAACCCTAGTCGTTGCCCAGCTTTCTGATGAATAATAAGTAATTGTAAAGATAATGGCACACCTTAGTCTTCAGACTGACATTGTGGCTCTTCAGTACTTTAGAGAGTCTGACAGCAGACTTTCCCAATACAATTCGTCTTTGCATTTCCTAGCTGCTGGTACCAAGAATGTTGATTGTAGAGCCAAGCAAACTGAAGCTGTTAACAATCTGTCTCTTCACCATCTGTTATGATCCTGCCATTCGGCCCAGTGGTGAGAATCTTTGTGGTAAAGTTTAAATTAAGCTATCCCAGACTGACCCTGAGAAGAATGGGAATCCCAGAACATTTAATTGTGCTAATGCGAAACCTATACTTGGACCAGGAGGCAGTCATCAGAACAGAGCAGTGTAACACTGCATGGTTCAAAATTGGGAAGGGTGTACACCAGGGATGTGTCCTATTTCCATACCTTTTCAACCTGTATGCAGAGCAGATTATCTGGGAGGCTGGGCTCTATGAGGAGAATTGTGGCATCAGGATTGGTGGAAGATCTATTTACAGTCTGTGTTATGCAGATGACACACCCCTGCTTGCTGAAACCGAGGAGGACCTCATGCACTTGCTGCAGAGGGTCAAAGACTGCAGCATTCAGTATGGACTGAGGCTCAGTGTCAAGAAGACAACAATTCTCACCACTGGATCAATTGGTAGCATCAGGATGGATGGCGAAGAGATTGAGATTGTTCACAGCTTCAGTTTGCTTGGCTCCATGGTCAACACTCTTGGCACCAGCAGTCAGGAAATCAAAAAACGTATTGCGATGGGAAAGACTGCTGTTAATGACCTCTCTAAAGTACTCAAGAGCAACAGTGTGTCTCTGGAGATTAAGGTGTGCCTGATACAGGCCATGGTCTTTGCAATCACTTGTTATGCATCAGAGAGTTGGACAATGACTAGGGAGGATAGAAGGAGAATTGATGCCTTTGAGCTGTGGTGCTGGAGAAGAGTATTGAATGTACCATGGACTGCCAAGAAAACAAACAGATTCATCCTGGAGAGGGTTAAACCAAGCTACTCCTTGGAGGCAAGGATTCTGGGGCTTCATCTGACATACTTTGGACATGTTGCAAGGAGGGACAGGTCCTTGGAGAGGGACATAATGCTTGGGAGGGTGGAGGGACGGCGCAAGAGGGGAAGACCCTCTATGAGATGGATTGATTCAGTGACGGGTAATCGGGATGGGTGTGTCAGACGCAGTGCGATTGGCCCATGATAGAGCAGGGTTTAGGGCTGTTGTACATAGGGTCGCTATGAGTCACAAATGACTCGACTGCACATAACAACAACAACAACATCCTAGAAGTAGAAAGAGAGAGGGGACCTCCATACCACCAAGAAGTCCAGGAAGAATGGAATGCGCCCTTGAGGTCTCTGTACTGAGAACATTCTAAACCCAGGTGACAGGGACAGCACTGGAAGCAGCAAGCAGCTGTGACAGCAAAAGTGGGATCAGCATGAGATGACATGGGTAAGCTGGAAAGCAGGCGTCAGTGGTAGATGTAGCAATCCCTATAGCTAGAGAGCCGAATGCTTTTGAACTAAGGCTTACTGGTGAAATGCCTCTGATCCCTTAATGGGCAGAGCAAATCCAGACCAGAGGCCTGTGGACATAGCTGAGAAGAAGGCTGTTCCAATTGTGGAGTAGTTCATGATCCTGACGTGTTATCTGTTAGCTTCATAAGTTCCAGTAACGTTGAGTTTTGCATGGCCATTGCAATACCTATCAGACCAGTAGTGAAGAATGGTGTCAAAGAGATGATTGGTGTCAGTATTGGTAAAAAGTTTAAAGAGGAAGTGTGTCATAGGAATCAGCATTGGACTCATGTTGGGGGTGATTTTCTGTCTCCCCTGTGAATTTTAGTGATAATCAGACATCGCTGCCATTTTTATAGTTGCTTTGTTAAAGAATTTTCCTTTGATAGGGGAATACATGTTTCTTAAACAGGTTATCATTACTGTATTTCTTAAACATTTGGAGATAGGCTTATGGCTTGAAGGTATATGCTCAGAGCTTACATTTTTCACTTTAAAAGGAACATAAAAAATGTGTTTATGTAGGGAGCTCTGGTGGCCTAGTGGCAAAAAACTGTGCTGCAATCCACGTGGTTTGAAACCTCCAGATGTTCTGCTGGAGAAGGAGGAGCAATCTCCTCCTGTGACAGTTGGATCTGATTTGATGATACACAACAAGAAATAAAAAACAAAAACCAAACAAAAAAATATGCATGTGTATACACACAGACTTATAATAGTACTGGGATTATGTAATACTTGTTTATTCCCTTTGTGTATGCACACATAATCCTGTAAGTACTGTCGTTAGGTTACCAAGTCAGTTGCAACTCATAGCAACCCATTGGGACAGACTATCACTGTTGTAGAATGGGACTGTCCTTGGGGTT